GTGAGGATACCCATGACGTCATCTAATGAATTTAATTAACAAATTAATTGATTATGAAATATCAACTAAAATTAATTATTATTTTGATTAGTATTAATTACATAATTTTTGAAACGATATGATTCAGACACAGTCGGAGTGTCAATTAATTTACTTAGTTATTATTAATTACACACTAGTAATCTCAAAATGATATGATTCAAACGCAGTCGAGTCTAACACAGATTCAATTCAACTAACTTTAGAGGAACTTTCAAGGAGGTAAGGCTAAATATGACATTATGTAATAATTCTTTTTCATTAATGATATTATTTGTCCAAAAAGAATCATTTGAATTAGTCTCCCAATATCATAGAGTAGTCAACAAAGGTGTTATGAGATAGTCCCCGCTTACAACAATAATTAATTCAATCACAATCAGGCGTTGCACTAACAAACTTTGAATCAGTGACAAGAGACAACATTTATTTTTAATTAGATTTTTATTTTCCCCGTTACAATTATGAAGCATGGGTCGGAGAGCCACCCCAAGTCCATTTTACAATGACACACACCCTAATCTATAATGTACAATAAAAATTATTTACACTGTAAGAGCCGTCTAACATCCATCATATCATACTCATGCGATCTGTGTATATGTACGCTTTTCTGATATGATGAAATCTGAAGTTAGACCTTTCCAGGGTAGTACACTCATCTATTCATAAGTTAGATACATCAGACGCATTAATCCAAGAATTGAACTTCTTTGGATAATAAAGCCATTTAACAAAATATTGTTTATTTCTTCCCTTTCCTCTGGTCTTTAAAATTTCTTCAACCTTCCAGAGGTCATCGTCTTTTACATCTACTTTTTGGAGTTCTGATTGATAGAAAGTTCCTTTGATTTCATCTCCGTCAAAATCCTTTACTCGGTAGACAGGCAAACCCCCACGTAAAATCCTCTGAGAAATGACGAATGCTCATAGTATCTCACCCGTCCACCTTTCGTCATATTCTCGAGAAAATGGATTCCTGATATGAGTGAGTCGAACTCGATCACCGATTTTGAATCTAAATGGTTTTCTTACAGTCTTTGTCTTGTTAAAAACTGCATGATTCCTTGGCCAGTACATTTTCCACCATACAGCTGTTTCATTTCCACTGTTGACACTTTTAGGTGTCATGCCAATCGTTCTGTGGTGAGTGTTATTGTAGCTTTTGACAAATGTTTTAAGTTTGTCTATGTATTCATACGACTGTTGGTAAGTCATGAAACGATAAATCCTCGTTTTAATAGTTTTGATGACACGCTCAGCAATTGCAGCTTTGGTTTCATTCTGAGCATAGAGGTGCGTTATGTCATAATCGTTGAAGACTTTTTGAACTTCCTTGGATCGAAATTCTTGTCCTTTATCTGTTCGTATTCTTTTGGGCACTCTACCTTCTAGAAAAATTTCCCGCAACGAATTGGCAACGGAAATTCCCTTTTTGTCTTTCAAAGGACGCATCCAAAGATACTTTGAGAGAACATCGATAACAACCAAAATATACATGTATCCCTCATTATACTTGGCAAACTTTACCATATCCATGAGATCAGCAGACCATTGGTCATCTATACCGGTTACCATTATTTTGTTTCTTCGAAATTGTCTTCGTAGTGGTCTTTGTAAACTGTAAGCTTCTTGTTTTTGCAACCATTTTCTAATTTTATATTTGCTTATAACATATTTACCATCTTTTCTCACATATCGGAACAATTTGTCTGGTCCCGAAAAACTTCCAGCATTTTTTGGATTGTAATAAATTTCTTGTAAATAGTTCTCCCATGACATGTTTCCTCATCAATATCCAGCGGTAAAATGAAGGAACAGTTCTACATTACATAAATTTATAGAGGACAATTTATTCACCATTTTCATCCTCAGTTTCATCCTCAGAATCCATGTCATCATTTTCATCATCATCATCATCTGTTTCTTCATCATCTGTTAAAAACATCATCTCCTCAAGGAGATGTTTGTATTTCCTGAGAGCCATACGAACAGCCGGTAAGTTTTCATATCCCTTTTTAAGGAACTTTTCAATACTATTCATTATTTTCCCGTGGATCTGCCCACCTTTCAAGTCTAACATGTCCAGAATAGTTTTTCCATATAGGTCCAAAAATGCGATAAAATTGGACTCCTGCATTTTGTTATTTGCTTTATTTTCTGCTTTCATTTTAGACAATCCCTCTTTTCGAAATTTTTTGAACTTTTCAGACCACGTATCCTCATTTTTAACCTTTGATCTTTTTTTCATTCTTTTGAAGTAGTCCTCTTCTGTTGATGCATTAGGAGAATCATCTTCATAGTTCATTGCGTATTCATCTGACTGAAAGATATGCGGCTTCTTTTTTAGTGGTTCCTTATATTCATCCAGAGGAAGTTGTTTACGATTATCATTCTCCGGGCACCATCTCTTGATATGTCGTTGGAGGTCATGCGTACCATCAAATACGAGTCCACAATCATCACAAGATGCCATCACAGGACCCAAAGATGAATCAGTGGATTCAAAAGTTTGACTCTTTACTTCACCAGAGCTATTTAGATGCGTCCTTTCTTCTTCGGAAGATCTCTGCAACTGACTTCTTGTCTCTGGTTTGTGTTCTTTTATAGGCATGTCTGTGAAAATTTCAGTGCGCATGCGCATAGATTCAGGCGTTGTTGCTTTTAAATCTATTAAAAGATATCCAAACGGTTTTTCCGTTGCTTCTTTGAAATGCCTTATCAATTGCTGGGAATTACCAGGATACATCTGTCGAGCCAATGTCATCACTTGTTGTTTGTCTATTGGATTTTTAAACAGAACAAGATAATGACAATTTCGTCTTTGGGTTGGATCTTTATTGTAGAACAAGTTTTGGTTAATAGCGATGACTGAAAGGTTTCTGTGATGGCTCCCTTCCGTAAACAGTTCGTTGATCCGGGAATCCTTGGAGGCGCTTGACATCATATCATCTAAAATCAGCACATTTCTCGTTTGAGGATTTAAAAAAGAATCCTCTTCCAAATCCATTGGTATTCCTCGAATGAATTCCACGCTGGGGGAAACCGTATCCTTTATGACGTCATACAAAGGTTGCCACCGTTTATAAAGCCAAATAATTCGTTCTGGTGGGGGAGCAATTTTGGTTAAACAGTTCTGTAACAGTAATATGACAAAATACGTTTTTCCACATGAGGTTGGTCCCGATATGTTTGCAGTAAATGGATGCTTAAATTGAAACATCTGCTGCTGCTGCTTAAGATGTGTTTCCTGGTATTGTTTCTTTGAAGCTTCATTTATCTTTTGTTGCGTTAAAAAGGCTTCTTCTTGCATTTGACTGTTTAAAGTGCTGTATAACTCTTGCTGCTGCTGCTGCTGCTGCTGCTGGGTCAACATGGTATATTCCTGGTGTTGGTTGAAACTTGAGGAATATCCTTTTTCTTTTATCGGGTGTTTCAGTTTCAAGTGACGCTGTAAATCATGAGGCCATACATAAGTTTTTGGGCAGAATTTACATTGACTCATGATGATCGATGCTTACTCCTCGACTGTAGAACATCAAATGATCAGTCTCTCTCATATCACTCCTTAAATAGTCATTGCCATTGCATCATGGGAAATTCTCCAATGTCCATGAGCTAATGTGTGAATTCCATCGTTCAATATATAACGTTTGTCATCAAAGGGGGAAAGAGTTGTCTTGTTCAAGGCAATTGTATGTATCTGATGTTTTTCTGATCTAAATGTAATCATGGTTTCCATGTGAGATTCTCTTTGAAATAAACATTCTTTGTACGACGAATGGCGCAATTTCGATCTAATCACCGATTTGCTGACACCTTTAGCTGTGCGTTTTTCACTTGGTCCGTAGGTAAGACTATACATTTTTGGCCTCAAACCTACAAATTCTGTCATAGGCTGTGACATGGTTTCATCTTTCATTTTCCCCAAGACCTTTTTGTTGGTGCTATCATATAGAAAATGATCGCTTGGGTAATCGCTGAAATCAAAATGGTGCTTTACTTTCTCCAGGTCCTTGTACAAGTCTTCTGTAAAAATATTGTAACATAAGGAATCTGTGTCTGTGAACAGTAACTCTGCATTTCCTCCATATGTGGATTTGACATGGTTGTAGTGGAAATCGTACATCAGTACCTTTGACATTTCTAAGATGGAAAATCCAACGTATATAGGACGATTCAAGACAAGATTCTGTTTTGTAAGTTCAACCGATGCCAGATCTTTGTTGAATATCTTAAATGATTTAAACCCTGGTTTCGCGGTGACCTTAAGAAGCCTTTGCTCCCGGTGAATAAGCTGAATATCTACTCGTTTTCTGAGATTTTCCATTGTCTTTCCAAACACACTGTTATTCATTAATTTGTAGAAGTCTTTTTCAAAGTCATTCTTAGCTGCTTTTCGCATGCTTGTATTAAAGTCAATGTACTTTTTCAACCATGGCTCCTGTTGAAATGCAAGCACTTGATGAACTTTAGTGATCTTCATACCGAGTGATAAGTATAACTGCAAATTCTTATAGTGAATTACGTAATCGGTTTTGTTGTGGAGATTCGGAACTAATTTTCGAGTTGATGTTTCGAGAAGATTCAGCTCTTTGAGTAGTTCTTGCTGGTAGGGAGATAGCATATTTGGTTTCACTTCAAATGGTTCTGGTGCTAACGGATAATCACTGTGAAGGTCATGTAATTCTGCTGGATAATCAAGATCCACTGATAAAATGTAGCCTTCTTTAAAATCTTCACTGATATGTTGAATATCAAAAGAATCTATTTCCTCCCTGGAAAGCCATCGGAACCCGTGTGTTGGAAGAGCTTGACTCATTGACCATCCATATAAGTTGTTTGCATCTAGATACATGAGGTAATTGTTTGGTTGGCTATGATTGTAATCTTCTACATATGGATTGTTAGCCTTGGCGTATCTTTGTGATATCATAGAAATGCCTCCCCTCAGACCCCTTTCAATGAATGTCAGGGTCTGTAAAAAGTTCTAAATGGACGTCTGTCATTTTTAGAGCCGCTTGCCATGCCAGTCCCGGGGCAGTGTAAAAGTGTGCTGGGTCTAGTCCATAAATACGAAGACAAAGATTTCTAAAATTTTCAAATACATCAGCTAAAAGAATGACGTCAGTTTCCATATAGAGATCGTGGTAGTCTCCTAAGTTGGACATCTCAAATGTTTTCCAAACAGACTGTGCGTGATAAAAGTCAGCTTCTGACAAATCCTGATCATCAATACTACTATGAAAAGCTGATCTCTCTGGAAGACATTTTTCTCTAAATTTTTCCCTACTATCCATGTACTCGTAGGGATACACCCCTTTGCGCATGAGTAAATTCATCTTTTCGTTGATTTGACCTGGATGTCGCTTTTCAATGTAGTGATGAAGGTGCTTAAACTTCTCTACACCTTCCTTTGAAAGGTTTTTCACAAGTTTTTCTAGAGATGTTGACAGAAATTGAAAGGAATCAATGAAATCCACATTTCCCATTGAAAAGGATATGTACTTTTCATGGTTCTGTGGAATGCAGTTCAGGGTTTTGTTTTTCATTTTTCCAATTGCTTGCATGATTAAGTGGGAGTCGTATCCCCTTAAATTGTGAAATAATACAGGTATGCGTTCCCGTTGTTTCAGGTTAAGGTTGCATGTATTATGTGCAGCACCTCGGAACTTTCCAGTTACGTGGCAGTGGTCGCGAACACGATCTGCACGCAATTCTTGCATACATATATGGCATTTTTCAGCAGCTTGAAATAAGTTGTCATCGTTTGTTGACATTTCAAGAGGTAAAGGGTTCCGGAGAATTTTAATCAACCTTTCTTCCACTTGCACCATGTGATCAACAAACGTTTCGGCAACATTCTCTCCTCGGTATGTCACGTGATCTTCCGTAAGACTGTCATCTGGTCCAACAATCTTATATGTAGACCCCGAAGGAGTGTGTTTTGCTAGCTTAGTTGTGCTTGGCTTAGAAACGTTGGGTTGACATATTGAAATTTTGGAGGATATGCGCTCAAAATCGGCATATATGACAAAACTAACTTTCTGTTGCTTGGAAACGTCAGAATAGCTCAGCCACTTATTTTCCTCTGAAGGCATTTCTATTCTTTGAGCTCCATGCACTTTGCAGTAGGGTCTGTGCTTTTCCAACAGTTTTACTTTTGTAAAGCCATGTAAACAATAGCAGTAGAAATATTGGTTGCGATCGCTGTTTTGATCTGCTAGAAGTCTATTAAAGTTTTTAATCCAGCAGTAATGTGATCGTTGTCCATTCGTTATCACTAGAAGATCTACGTGACGCTCGAAACGCTGCTTTGTCAAATGAATGGGATAAACAGATCCTTTTTCATAACCAAAAACATTGACAGATATGCCATTCTTGATTTCGAACTTAATAATGCCCTTCATCTGCATTGGGAATTCTATTCCAGTAAAGTCCAGTTCATCAACATATGAAACGTAATTTGAAACCCTTTGAGCATGGTGTGCTGCTGGGTGTAGCGCAGATAAGATTGCCCATTGGAAGCATTTCTGGTCTGTATTTTGAACATTCACAATGGCTTTTTTGACTCTCAGTTTGATTGGCAGTGGGATAAAACTTGATCCTCGTAAAGGTTTGTACTTGGCGACATTTAAGGTCAATCCTATAATTTTATCGAGTGTCCAATTGCTACCCTGTCTCTGATACTCTAGAAATGAAGTCATTATCTTTTTTATGCTATCTTGTAGGCTTTGTTCCATATCATCAACTTTTAATGCAATATGACAACGTCCATGAAAATGAGGCTCCACCGTTTCCGTCTGATCTTTCTTTTCTTTTTTGAAGCGGACTTGCATTGTTAAATACCATTTAACACTTTGTCTTTTCAACAGGACGACTTTCAGAATTTTCTTAATTTTGTCAAAGTTGGAATGTAAGAATTGGAGGGGGTCGAATTTCGTCTTATTTAAAGCGGGCAAATTGTAAACCTTGAGATTTCCATTTATTGCCTCATCTTCTGTAATACAATCACTAGTTTCATCGGTAGTAAGGCCACCTCCTATTTGATTGTTCTGTTGTGGTTCTGTTGACATTTTAATGTTGTTCTCATCAACTAGAAAGTTTTGATTCTCAGCACCAGAATTTGCAACATGTGTCATTGGATGTTGTATTCTCATGTGGCGTTGGAAGTTATCTTTTCTTTTGAATTGCATGCCACAGGTAGTGCATTTGTGTCCAGAGCTTTTATGAGCTGACCTTAAGTGGCGATACATATTTGATGAATGTGTAAATGATGCTCCACACAAATTACATATGACCGACTTCATTTTAGACAGCTAGTCTGGAAATAATCAAAATAATAATGATATAAAGTTTTTTAATTAAAAATTCAATCAGGAAAAAGTTGTCTAATTAAGAAACCACAGTTTTAAAACCATTGCACGGCCATCAACATCTAAGTCGGACAGGTCTTCCCGATAATGACGGGGACATGTTACGTTAACGCTCTCCTGTCCATTGTGAGCTAGTAACATCGCCCTATATCGGTACACCGTGTTCATGTGCAGCAATGTCTCAGACACTATAAATAAGTAATTAATAGAAAACTATGCATAAGGGATCCAGATTAAATTTTATTTAGATAGCGCTGAAATCTGATTAAGAAACCGCAGTTTCAAGATCATTGCACGGCCATCAACATCCCTGTCACCAGGGACGGAGCTCCGCCCACCGAAGTAGGCTCACATGAACTTGAGTCGGACAGGTCTTCCCGATAATAACGGGGACATGTTACGTTAACGCTCTCCTGTCCGTTGTGAGCTAGTAACATCGCCCTATATCGGTACACCGTGTTCATGTGCAGCAATGTCTCAGACTTCAAAATTTAATTCCATATTGTTAATCTTGTCTTAATTGCTTGTATTCATATTTAATTGTAATATTTAGACTAATGAGCGATGCCTCTGTTATCTTCAGTTGGATACATTAAACCCTATTTAAAGCCGTTTCTACAAAAACAAAATTAAAAAAAATTAATAGACTCAAAGTGTTATTAAAATGAATTAATGAGCTAGTAACATCGCCCTATATCGGTACACCGTGTTCATGTGCAGCAATGTCTCAGACTTCAAAATTTAATTCCATATTGTTAATCTTGTCTTAATTGCTTGTATTCATATTTGATTGTAATACTTAGACTACTGAGCGATGCCTCTGTTATCTTCAGTTGGATACATTAAACCCTATTTAAAGCCGTTTCTACAAAAACAAAATTTAACAAATTAATAGACTCAAAGTGTTATTAAAATGAATGAAACTTTTAACAAGTGCATGTTATTTATCTAAGATAATCTCAACTTAAAGAAAAACACATATCAGTATTATTAAAAAGTTATATAATTAATAACCACAATTTAGAAAAAACCAATCCTAACATTTCCATTAAAATATGATTAACTTTTATTTTAAATTATTTTTTTTTAGCCTACTTTTAGAAGAAAGAGTGACATACCTGACCGTCTGGTCCACCACAAAGTGATGAATTTGATTATTATCGGTCTTTTTATACCTGTCCGACTGACTGTAAAAACTCTTAAATCTGATTGGATAATTAAAAAAAATGAACCAAAAAATTGTTATACTACATCAGATTAAACCACCCGCTATCGAGATTTGACGCTTTTTCCGGTGTCTCGCTTGGGTTCACTCGCTTCACTTCGCTAGGTCATGGATAAGTGTGTGCCTGATGTTTCTTTTGTGTGGCACACATTTTATGAATATTAAGGACAATCATGAATAAAAGTTTGTAACTTTAGTTTGGATTAACGTTTTTGACCGATATGCCATATCAATGAAATTTATGTCGTAAATTTTTGATACATTGCTCATTTTACTTTTCATTTATTGTCACTGTTTTAAAATGACTGAAATGATGTTAAGCGTCACCTTCGCTAGCCAAGGGTTTAAGATTCGTTGTGAGGATTCTTGATCATTATAACGTTCTAAGAGATGTAAACAGCTAGACAGTTTGATAAATAAAAATATCAAAAAAGCACGTTTGAAAAAAACAAAACAAAAACAATATGGCGTCACATTGTTGATTTTTAAACCAGTTTAAACCAGTTTAATCTTGTCCATTATGCTTGTCGTGACAAGTTTACCTGTACTCTTTAAATAGAAGTGGCGTTATTAATCATTACAACACACATTGCGTTCACCTGTGTTTCGCTTGACAGCGACTTGATCAAAACAATAAAATAAATGCATTGATCTTTAATATGTTTTGTTTTATGTAAAAAAATCCATATTGCATCATTTTGATAAATAAAACATTTCAATTACTCTCAAAAAACCCAGGTCATAAGAGGTCACAGTCAAGGTAAGTCTACAGTCAGGGGGTAGTTCACAGTCAGGGGTAGTTCACAGTCAGGAGGTAGTTCACAGTCAAGGGGGAGTCTACAGTCAAGGGGGATATGTAATTATACTCATTGAATTAACTCACACTTGTTTAACCTTTAATTGATAATTCATAATTAATTTGTTAATTAAATTCATAATTAATTTGTTAATTAAATTCATTAGATGACGTCATGGGTATCCTCACACCCTGGGAGGATACCAGGAGGTCCTCCATAGTAACTCTATGGGAGGACACTGGTCCAGAACCCTGGTTTTTCCCCTACTTCTAATGTTCAATCAAGGGCAGGTAAGTGTAAATTCTCTATATTTTGAAAGCAGTAAGGACAAAAAACATTAAATTATTTTAAATCATTTTAAGATTTAAATTTGGTTCCAATTTGATAGGATTCTTTCATAAACATACAAAAGTGAAATAAGGTTTAGATATAAAAGCAACAGAAGCAACCGAAAAAGACCCAAAACCCGGCGTTAATTAAATGCAGTCATTCTTTCCAACCAAAAATTCCTTAAAAAGCAAAAAAAAAAAAAAAAAACGAAACCAAAATTCCCTTTCAAAAAGTATCAACCCCAGAAAATTTCTTGACAAGCAAAAAAACGCACACACACACACACACACACACACAAAGGTTAAGTCCATTTTCCAAACGTAAAATACACCTATTTCATGGTAGTAATGGTGGGGTCCACATCTATGGGGAGTGAAAGTCATTTTTTATTTGCTTCAGTATAAACTTTCAATAACTATGCAAATTCCGGGGGGGGGGGGGTCCGGACCCCGACCCTTCCCTTTTCTAGATCCGCTCATGATGATTTTGCTTCTTAGTCCTAGTAATAATTCAGGCCGCGGTATTCTGAATTCTTTGTAGTCTTGATTGTTGATAGGGAACTCAAACTCAACCTGTATAACAATGCGTTTCCGTAATCCAATCGCGAGGTGACGAGTAAGCACATGAAGGTCTTGCGGGCACTTTCTGTAATAAGTTTACGTATGCGACCGATGTTACGTAGATCTTTGGTAGAAGCACTGTTTTAAATTGAGCTTATCTGGTCGTCCATACTTAGTGACCAATCAAAAATACGCCTAGATACGCTAATGATTTGACCATCAAAATTTGCGAATTCACTGGATTTTTTTTCGGCGTAAAGACAATAAGTTCCGTTTTGTTTTGATTTAATTTAAGCATGTTGGTTTTCATCCATGAGCTGATATCAGACAAGCATTTCTCTAGCCTGGCTTGATGATCATAAATACCTGGATATCATCAGCGTAACTATGAAAGGACATTCTATGTCTGCGACAGATCTTACGAATTGGGTTTTGAGAACATGCGGTAGAGCTTAGGACCTAAGACAGACTCTTGTGGAAATCCGAATTTTAGCTGAAAATCAGACGACACATATGACTGGACCGTAACTCGTTGATATCTGTTGTTAAGGTAAGATTCTATCCAAAGCAAAGCATCACCACAGATGTCATAGCAAAATTAAAGGCGATTAACTATGATGGAATGATCGATCACGTCAAAGGCCGCTGACAAATCCAACATCAAAAGAACCGCACATGAGTTGGAATCTAGTGATGACACGATATCATGATGCACCTTCAGGAGAGCTGTCTCTGTGGAATGGTGTACTAGGTATGCAGATTGGTAAGTATCCTGTAGATTGTACGACGCAAGATGATGCTCTAGGCGAGTACTAACCACTTTTTCAAGAATCTTTGAGATGAAAGGACGGTTGGAAACTAGTTGCGGAGGGGTGTAGCATCGCTACTGTGCGTATGAGTGTGTGTTAGTGTTTTCCGCCTCCACAAACTTATAGGGCATTGTAAAAGGACGAACCCTTTTCATTTTCAAGTTAATCGGTGAAATAATTCTTAAAATATCCCGTTTTTACTACCTTCAAACCCTGGAATTTTATGTACGAGTTGACAATACTAACTTCCTGTTAATTAAACTGGTACTCTGTCGACCCAATCGGCAATCCTCGACTGACTCCGCTACGTTCCATTCTGGTGGAGGAATATGCATCAAATCGATGCATTTCTCCGCCGCAAACAGCCTTGTAACTCATTTCATATTTCGCTCTGCGTAAAGTTCTTCAAAATGTTTTTTTAACTTGCCTAATTCTTCCTTGTATACATTAGCAGTCTTCGAAAGCAAAAACCAGGGACCTATTTACTTACGTTAGTATATACGTCCCTGCAAAAACATAGTGTTGGGCGTGCGACAAAATAGGTATATGAATTTCGATTTACAGTCAACTCGTACCCAAACCGACTCGTACCCAAACCGAGTCGAACCCAAGGAGTCAACTCGTACCCAGAACTGTTACTTACATATACAGTGTTATACTATATACAAAGATATGTACTATAGATTATTTAGTATACAAATAATTTGTCTGTGCTGGTGGTAATTGCATAAATCATGCTTGTTGTTTGTGATGCCTGAAAGGGCCCTGATTTGGAAATAAAGAATCTATCTGGGCCCTATCTATATCTTTATTATGCCAAGTTCAATTTTTCAAATTTTATTTAAATTGTCATTATTTTATAAAAAATAAGTAGTGTAACTAAATTGGAATAATAAATCAGATATCTTTATGAAAATATATCAAAAAGTGATATATTTTCATTATTTATTTTATGACTTCAGTTTTGGGTACGAGTTGACTCTTTGGGTACGACTCGGTTTGGGTACGAGTCGGAATGGGTACGAAGTGACTGGATACCAGAATTTCAAGTAATACTGAATTT